GCCCCGCGCGCAGCAGCCGGACACAGCGCCACGAGGGGCCGCGCGGGCGCAGGCGGCCGGCGCTTGGAGGTGCGTACGGGGGGGGTGGGCCTTCCCTCTCCAGGTCCTCGGCGGCCCCGGGCGTCCGCGAGCTCGCCGGCCGAGCTCTCCGAGCCGAGCCAGGTCTGCGCTCCCGCAGCGGGGTCGGGGCGGGCTCCCCGTGAACCCGCCCCTTCACAGCGCCGCGGTCAGGTGGCTGCCAGCGGGCGCCCCGGCCCCTTTGCAGCTAGCCTTGGTAGGGCCCGCGATTGTCCTAGTTCAGCCCCTCACCCCGCTGGGTTCCTCAGGTGAGGTGAGGTGACCCCGTCCCCATGTGTAAGCCTCGCCCGAGGCTCTGCGCACACTCTGTTGGGTGGACCTCGGCTGCCCCCATGGATGTCACGGTGTGTAAGTTCTGGCCTTGGCTCAGCTGTAAGTTGGGGCATCCCGAGATTCAACAGGAACTCCGGACCAGGTGTTGACCACGCTGCCTTCCCGCCCCCAGCTGTCCAGTCGGACCCTGCACTTTAACCTGTCTCTTTCCAGGCCAGGGCAGCTGATGGTTGTGGCCAAAGTGTCCTAAGGTAGCTGCTGGGCCTGCCCCTCTCCCCACCTTCCTGTCCTGCCCCCACCACCACCCTGGCCCCCCTCCCTCATGACCGCCTGGATCCTCCTGCCTGTCAGCCTGTCAGCATTCTCCATCACTGGCATATGGACTGTGTGAGTACAGAGGGGCAGAAGAGGGGGACCTACAATGAGATGAGCCCGCACTGAGGAGGGATGGGACCCAGCCACAGCTCAACAGGAGCTCAGTGGACAACGCCAAGTCCCCTGTTCCTGCTGTAGACTCCAGACTGGTGCCCAGTGCCAGTGTGGGCTGCTTCAGACACCAGCCCTGCTGGGCACTCCAGCCAGCCCCACATGGTGGCCCTGGGACAGCTTCCAGGGGACTGCTTGGTCACGGAGGCTCTCTAGTTGGAGGCTCTGATGTGACACCAAATGTCAAGGCTACCCCAAATCCAGAGTCCCGAACAAGGGGAGCCAGGCTGGAGGGATCAGAAAAGAACAGAGATGGGGAGTCAGGGTGGGAGGCCAGCTGGAGTGGCAAGGTGACAGCTCTGTGCCCCTAGGTATGCCATGGCCGTGATGAACCGCCACGTGTGCCCTGTGGAGAACTGGTAAGGTGCCTCTTGCAGACATCTCACTAAAGCTCCCTCATCTCTATTCCCTCTGGGCTCCAGGGGCTGCTACCAGCCAGATGGGACCCCGCTGCTCTTCTCTGACCTTGCAGGGTCTTTCCTCCTGTGGCTTTGGCCTATATTCCTGCTTCCCACCACCCCTCACCCCTGTGCCTTTGTTTCAGGCAGGCCCTGGGGACCTGGCATGTTTGTCCCTTCAGGGGAGGCTTGGGACTTCTCAGCCTGAAGTTACAGGCTGAGAGCCTGGGAGTACTCCCTTCCCCCCACTCTACTGTGTCATGCCTGTCAGGTCCTACAATGACTCCTGCTCTCCTGACCCTGCCGAGGAAGGGGGGCCCAAGACCTGCTGCACCTTGGATGATGTTCCCCTCATTAGGTAAGGATGAACATAAGGCTGGTCAGGGAGGCCCGAAGTCCTCAAGTAAAGGTCCGTCTTAAGCAGAGGTCTCTGAACAATTGTATTATAGACCCTTAACAGTAGTACTACCTCATGGATACTGTGTCGGCAACTTATCTTCCACACTTTGCTTGCATTATCTTACTTAATTCTCTCCTTTGAGACAGTTGCTGTTTTCTCCATTTTATAGGTGAGGAAACTGTTTCAGAGTTACAATGTTCAGTTAGTGAGTGGACTCACTTAGATTTAAGGCCAAGCCCCAGTTGCCCAGAGCAAGGTCTCAAGGAAAATCGAGCCGGTGCAGGCCCGACAAGGAGCCAAGGGCCCTCCCTTATCTCTCACACCCATGAACTCAGCTGGGGGACCCAGATGGTCTTGTGGGGTACAACTTCCTCATAAATCAGTGACTTGCCTTTTTTAGAGAGTGTTCCTGGGAGAATGGGGCAGCCAGAAAGGGAGTCTCCTGACCCTCTCTCTCTGCCCCTCCTCTCAGCAAGTGCGGTACATACCCCCCAGAGAGCTGCCTCTTCAGCCTCATTGGCAACATGGGTGCATTCATGGGTGAGTTGTGTCCTCAGCCCCAGGCACGCCCCCTTCCCAGCAACAGCCGCTCCTCCTCGCTCCTCGGAAAGGCCCCAGGAAGCAGCAGCTCTCCTTGACAGGGCAAGGAAGGCGAGGCCGGACTTACCTGAGGGGCTTTGGTGAGGAGTAACAGGATCCTCAGGAATAAACCCACCTCTACACCACCCTCCCACTCCCTGCTCTGTCCCCAGGGGTGGGAGGCCAACAGGAGTGGGGCCTGAGGGCAGCCAGGGCTGACTCCGGTGGGAGGCCAACAGGAGTGGGGCCTGAGGGCAGCCAGGGCTGACTCCATCCGCACTCTCCTCCCCAGTGGCTCTCATATGCCTCCTACGCTATGGGCAGCTCCTGGAGCGCAGCCGCCACTCCTGGGTCAACACTACGGCACTCATCACTGGCTGCACCAACGCCGCGGGCCTTGTGGTGGTTGGCAACTTCCAGGTGTGCCTGGCCTCCCTCCAGACTATCCCCCACAGGACTCCAGGGCCAGCAGTCCCAGCCTGGGGTGGGGGGCTCAGAGGGGAGGAGTGATGGGAGTGGAAAGGGGAAGGAGAGGTGCAGGAAGAGTGCTGAAGGCAGGGGAGGGGTGTCTGCATGCTGGTCCCAGGCAGCCCTCTCTGGGCCCAGGTGGATCATGCCAAGTCCCTGCACTATGTCGGCGCGGGTGTGGCCATGCCTGCGGGGCTGCTCTTCGTGTGCTTGCACTGTGCTCTCTCCTACCATGGAGCCACCGCGCCCCTGGACCTGGCAATGGCCCATCTGCGGAGCGTGCTGGCCGTCATCGCCTTTGTCTTCCTGGTTCTCAGTATCCTTCTGTAGCCCAGCCCTTCTCCCACCATGGCGGTGCGGGCACCAATATCCTAGAAAACACAGCCATGTTCTCTGCCCCTCTGAGGAGTGCAGGCCTAATCCTGGGCCCCAGCCTAGGTTCATTCTGGAGTCCCAGGATGGAACAGTTGGTGCGGACGCCACTGCTAGCCATCAAGTGAGCAGTTGAAGCCTGTCCAGAAGTGCCTCTGAGGAGAGGCCTGGTGGTCTGCATCCAGCTTGAAAACCCCAGAAAGCACATGTGGGGTGCCCTCAGTTAGCAGGCATCACAACAGGCAGTGGGCCTAAGCCATGCATCAGTGATGCAGAGGGAGGGCGGGCCTGGGTCTTCTTCTTGTCTGTGAGCACTTCCTTAGCCCCCTTTCCAGGTGGGGTCTTCTTTATCCACGAGAGCTCTCTGCTGCAGCACGGGGCAGCCCTGTGTGAGTGGGCGTTTGTCATCGACATCCTCGTCTTCTACGGCACCTTCAGCTATGAGTTCGGGGCAGTGTCCTCCGACACACTGGTGGCTGCATTCCAACCTGCCTCTGGCCGGGCCTGCAAGTCCTCAGGGGGCAGCAGCACCTCCACACACCTCAACTGTGCCCCTGAGAGTATTGCCATGATCTGATGGGGAGCGCAGCCAACCAGGCTTGCACAGCTTCCAACCCTTTCTTTGCATTTATTTGTTACCAAAAACACTTCTGAGAAAGTATTATGTGGGGATGAGGGTTCCCTCACCCACCTGTGCCATAGTGCAGCGGCACTCCCCGCTGCCCAGCTGCTGCCTCACCCACTGGGCGGTCTGTGTTGCGAGGTCACCTGTTTCACTTGCCCAGCCAGCCCTCCAGGTGCCTTCTCCCCAGTTCAGAGGCCAGACCACTGGGGTTTCCTGCTGCAGGAATTGGGGGCTGGAGAAGGAAGGGGGGCTGAGCACGCCTTAGGAAGGACCCCCCGTCCAGGTCTGTTGAGCCACACTGGGGTCCTCACACCACCTCACTTCCTTTAGGGCAAATAACACAGCAGAACCACGTGGGTATTTTAGTACATGTTTGTGGGTTTTTTTTAATATATATATATATATATATATCTATTAAAAGAATTCTAATTTGCATGTCTGTAATGTGTTCTGGAGAGTCAGCAAGGGCCTGATCCAGGCAGCTTCCCCAAGATAGAGTAGAGGAGGAGAGGAGCCTGCCGCACAGTCCTGAGTCCACCAGTCTGTGTGCAAAGGATGCTGGGTGACAGCCACATCCCCTTCAAGGACTTGAAGACAGTGACATGTTTCCCTCCTGGGTCAGAGTCTGGAGTAAACTTTGATTCCACGGCTGGTCTCTGACCTGTTTTTCCTTCCAACTGTGAGCTGGTGCCAAGCCTGGTTAGCACTGGCCAGCTCTTCACTGGCCTAATGCAGACAGGCCAGCAGTCTTGGTAGAGGGCTGGGAGGGGTGAAGCCAAGGTGCTTTGGTAGCTTAGGCCCACCTTCCCTGACAGCAGCAGGATTTGATAGGGCTGAGCCCCTGCCCAGGCCTGTGAGCACACAGCTGCAGGTTGGTAAAAAAACCTTTAATTGGATTCAAGGTCCAGAAGGTAGGTGTCGGGGACTGGCACTCAGCTGCGGCGGCTGCCTCATGTGTACATGGCTCCATGCAGATTCTCCAGTCGGAATTTCTGCTGCTCCTTTCGAGCCTGGGGAGAAGAGCACAGTAGGCAGGGGTCACCCCTCAAGTCTGTGAGGAAGGGTACAAGGCACCTGAAGGCCTTGGACATCTGCATGAAGTGGCGGCCAGTCACGGGGTTCTGAAGGCCCACTCAGTTCTGCCCAGGTGTGCAAAGTGTCCTCTCCACTTAACACCAGCCCTACCTTATCTCGCCTGTGCTCCTCGTAGGTGTCGTCATCGGTGGGCAGCTCGTGGCGGCACAGGGGGCAGGAATTTGTCTGGGAAAAGCGGGGCACTTTTCTAGCCTCGGTTTGGTGGCCAGGTTCCCTCCCCTAATGAGAATCCCCAGCCCACTTTGGCATTAGTCCACAAAGGCTTGAGAACTGGCCCTTGAGCTGTACCTTGCTTAGCCAGGGCAGAATGCAGCTGGAATGAAAGAGGTGATGGCAAGGCATTTCTATGGCAGTCTCCTCCTCCTTGAATTCCAAGAGACACACAGGACACTTGAGCTCTTTGGGAGGGAGTGGGGTCAGGAGTGCTGCTGCAGGCCACCCCCAGCTCCCACTCCTAAAGGGGTGCTCTTGCCCAGGCCTGACCGGGGAGACCAGAGCACTGTCTGGCCTGGGGAGCAGACCTGCCCCAAACAACACAGGGAATCGGTGTTCTCACCAGCTTGGGCGCCCCTGATGATTGTCCTGGGAAGGCTCTCGACCACAGCCTTGGCTGCAGGTGGTGGCAGGTGGTGATCCCAATCTACTAGCAGCCCCACATCTTCAAAGTCCATCCTGTTGAAAAGTGACCTGAGGAGGGAGAGGATGGGAGGTCAGAACCCAAGAAAAGCCCACTTTCTCCTTGGCCCCACAACCCACTGGGTACTGCAGAGGACCTGCCCAGCCAGTGCTGACCATAGCTGCCCACAGCAGGTGCTCCACCCAGTAAATAGCATCACTGGAAACCGGTTACAACTACCATCAGACAACCTCAAGGCACACACCATTCATTCCCATTTTGTACGTGAGGCAACAGGTTCAGAGTTCCTCAAGGCCACGTAGGACCTGGTGGAACCACATTCCAGACTTCTGTGACTGATATATATATAAGGACTACATCAACACACACACACACACACACCCCTCATTCTACCTTTGATACACAAACCCTCACAACCCATCCTACTCCCAACACAGACACACCATCTGACCCCTAATGAACACACACAACACACCCCCATCCTATTCCCAACACCTTCCCCCCCATCCTATCCCTAACATACACCCCTATCCTACCCCAACCACACAGAGATTAACTGCCTCTGAAGACTCACTGGCAAGACAGCTATGGGTCAGTTCCAACTTGACTACACAATAACAACATTCTACCTCTCAAACACACCTCGATTCTATCCCTAAGACACACACAAACACACATCTCTTTGACCCATAAGACACATCTCATCCTGCCCCAATACACAAACACCCCCCCATCCTATCCCTAAGATTCATTAACACAGACACATCCCTATTTTACCCCTAATTCAGAGACAGCCCCCCATTCTACCCAAGACAAAGAGATATAAACACACACCCTATCCTACCCCTAAGGCAGAAAGACATACACAGCCCCCTATCCTACCACTAAGGTACAAACACACTCATCCCTATGCTACCCTTAAGACACAAATGCAAGTCCATCCTACCTCTTAAAGACAAACTGACAAACACAGCCCTGTCCTATTCCTGACACACACACACACACACACACACAAACACCCTACTCCTAAAATAGACACACACACACCCCTATCCTACCCCTAAGACATATAGATACACAAATATTCCTATCTTATACCTTAGACACCATAGGCTCTTGCTCATATGTAATTTT